ATCTCATCCCAGGGAACAGGGACAGGAGGAGAGGGAACGGCCTCAGGCTGGGCCAGGGGAGGCTCAGGGTGGAATTTCCTCATGGAAAGGGTTGGCAGGGGCTGCCCAGGGAGGTTTGGAGTGCCCGTCCCTGGAGGTGGCACCTGGAGGTGGCACTGAGCGCTCAGGGTGGGGATCGGGCACAGCTCGGGCTCGATGATCCCACAGGGATCCCATGGATCCCGTTCATGATCCTAGAGGGATTTTCCAGCCTCAGTAATTCCATGATTCCGTGAAATCCCTGCTGCCTGACGCTGATGAGCTGCTGCCCACACGCAGAGCTCGGCTTTGGGAGGGCGGTTTTGTCCAGGGAAGGGCAGAGAGGTTCCCACCCCACTCCCACTGACCCCGTGTCTGTGTTTCCTCCTCCTCCTCCTCCTCCTCTGAGGATGCCGGGACAGGAGGGGTTTCTCGGTGCCACCCACCACGCCAGCACCCAGCCACCAGCACCTAGGTAGTACCTTCTTGTGTTTCTGCTGCATGCAGAGGCTGAGGGACCCCCGGGCTCGCTCTGCTCCCCCGCTCCCTCTAATCCCAGGGATGGATCCCTGCGATTTCGCCTCCTCCCCTGCCTGCAGAGCTTCCAGAAATGCATGGGGGTGACCCTAGCTGGGCACGGTGGCTGCATGCTCTGGGGAGGATGGAAATTCAAGGGAGGGGTTTCATCAGAACTCATTTTTCTGCTTTAGTTCATTTTTTTTTAAGAGATCTGACCCTTGAAATTCTTTCAGGAGGAAAACTCCGGTTCCTCCCTTTTCTTCCTCCTTGCTTTGCCCCATCCCTTTTCCACATGGGGGGAAGGTGGAAGCTTCAAAAAGGCCCTCAAGTAAAGACTCCTTCCAGCACGTTCTGGGTGGAGAACAGCCACCAACATCATGGATCAAAAATATTTTCCACCCAAAATATCTCCTGGGCTGAGAAGCCACCTTCCCCCTCACTCTGCATGGACGATGCTCCTCTGGTGCTGCTGCTCTCGCCAGGACCCTTTGCCACCCCAGTATTGGGGAGCTGCTCCTTTCGGGGGAGGTTGAATGCTGATCCCAAAAACCCCCTTGGGAGTGACTCCAAGGGGGGGCTAAAACCCCGCTGTGAGGAGGCTGCAGAGCTTTCCCGCCGCACAGGGAGGGGAGCTGGGAGCAGCAGGATGGGCTGCCAGGCTGGAAGCAGAGCTCTCACCCGCGTGTCTGTGTCTGTGTCCCCGTTCTGTGTCCCCACAGGTGACGGTGTGCTGGCTGGAGGAGCTGCCGGCGGGTAACGGGCAGTCCCTGTCTCCCCAGGCCGAGCACGCCGGCATCCGCACCTACTTCTTCAGCGCCGAGAACACGGAGGAGCAGGAATCCTGGATCCAGGCCATGGGCGAGGCTGCCCGCGTGCAGATCCCCCCGACACAGAGGTCAGCGCCCGGTGCCACCGCTCTGCCCTCCTGGGGACACGGTGCCGTGCTGGCACCACGACCGGGGACACTTGGGGACGTGAGGGTCACTCTGGAGAAAGGACACTCTGGACATTTGGGGGCCCAGGGACATTTGGGCGTGTGAGGGACACTCTGGAGAAAGGACACTCTGGACATTTGGGAGTGTGAGGGACATTTAGGGGCCGAGGGACATTTGGGGATGTGAGGGATACTCTGCAGAAGAGGACCTGGGACATTTAGGAGCCCAGGGATGTTTAGGGGCATGAGGGACATTTGGGGGTGTGAGGCACGCTCTGGAGAAGAGACGCAGAGACATTTAGGGGCCCAGGGACATTTGAGGGTGTGAGGAACACTCTGGAGAAGGGAGCTTGGACATTTGGGGGCCCAGAAACATTTGGGGTCATGAGGGACACTTTGGAGAAGGGACCCAGGGACATCTGGGGGTGTGAGGGACATTTGGAGACATGAGAGACACTCTGGAGAAGGGGCCCAGGGACATTTGGGGACGTGAAGCACACTCTGGAGAAGGGGCCCAGGGACATTTGGGGACGTGAGGCACACTGGAGAAGGGAACTGGGTGACCCCACAAGGCTCAGGAAGGGACAGGGACATCACCAACCACCCCAGGGGCACTGCCACGCGTTGGTGACCCCTCTGTGGTGTCTCTCCCCCACCCCAGGCACTCGGAGAAGCCGGACTCGGAGAACATCCCCCCCAGCAAACACCAGCACCACCTCCACCACCACTGCAACGCCGCCCACCGCGAGCACGCCAAGGCCGAGCCCGACGCCAAAGCCCGCGGGGAAGGCGACGGCCGCGGCTCCGAGAAGATGGAGAGGAAACCATCGGAGAGGACGGACGGCAAGAAGGAACCTCTGGCTAAAACCAACGGGCTGAGCGGCCAGGAGGCACCCTCAGAGCCCGGCAGTCCCTACCCCGAGGGGCCGCGGGGACCGGCGAGCGCCGAGCGGCCGGCACAGCCCAATGGGTGGCCGTACCCCTCGCCCAGCCGGCCCGGCAGCACCGCCTTCCCTCCGGGGGGTGACGGAGAGATCGGGGTCCCCCAGCGCCGGGGGGTCACCCCCAGGTCCCACCCCGAGAAGGTGGCCCAGCGTAAGAGCTCCATGTCGCAGCTGCAGCAGTGGATGAACTCGCGCCTCGCCACCGCGCCCTCCGAGGAACTGCGCAGGTGAGGGGTGATCCGGGATGCTCCATTCCTCTTGGGAATGTTCTGCCCCTTTTCCCGGTTCTTTGTGGCTTCCTGGGGGTGAGAAAAATCTCGTTTTCCTCCCCTTTCTTTTGTTTTTCTCCCAGCTCGGAGCTGGGTGTGGGATATCCCAAAAAGCCGAGGAGGGTGGGTTGTAAAGGAGGAGGGTGGCCAGGATGGGGGAGCCACCACGGAAGAGGGATACAAGGACAGGAAGCCACCAGAGGATCTGTGGGATGAGGGGTGCCAGGTCAGGAAACCACCCCAGTGTCCCTGCAGGAGGGATACGAGGAGAGGAGGCCACCACGAGACCCCAGGGAGGAATTCAACGAGGGGAAACTCCCACGGGGTCCCTGGGAGGAGGAATTCCATGAAGGGAAGCTCCCACAGAATCCCTGGCAGGAGAGGGGAGACTCCCACGGAGTCCCTGGCATGAGAAATGCCAGGAGGGGCGGCCACCACAGAATCCCAGGCAGGAGGAATTCCATGAGTGGAAGCTCCCACGGAGCCCCTGGGAGTTGGGATATCGGGACAGGAAGCCACCTCAGTGTCCCTGCAGTAGGGACATGAGGAGAGGAGGCCACCACGAGAACCCAGGGAGGAATTCCACAAGAGGAAACTCCCATGGAGTCCCTGGGAGGAGGAATTCCATGAAGGGAAACTCCCATGGAGTCCCTGGTATGAGAAATGCCAGGAGGGGAGGCCACCACAGAATCCCTGGCAGGACGAATTCCATGAGGGAAAGCTCCCACAGAGGAATTCCGTGAGGGAAACCCATTCCCTCATGGAATTCCACGAGAGCCCCTGGCAGGTGGAATTCCACGAGGAGAAGCTCCCACAGAGCCCCCAGGCAGGAGGAATCCCACGAGCGTGGCACCCCTGGCAGCACAAACACCACCCACCCGACTTCCCCTCTTCCCGAGCCGCCTCCTCTCGTGCTGTCCCTGCCCACCCCCCTCACCTCGGTCTCCCCCTCTCCAGCCCCAGCAGGTTTTACCCCGTATCCCGCCGCGTGCCCGACTATTACTCGCCCTACTCGCCGCAGTACCCCGAGGAGTACCAGTACTACCCGCCGGGCGTGCGCCCCGACAGCATCTGCTCCATGCCCGCCTTCGAGCGCGTCAGCCCCCCGTGGGCGCTGGAGGACAAACGCCACTCCTTCCGCAACGGGGGTCCCTTCCACCCCGCCTTCGGTCGCCAGGACATGCCCCTGTGGCTAGCGGCGCCCTCCAGGCCGCCCAGCTACCTGGACGAGGTGGATGCGGCCTCGGGCTCGCTGCGGAGGATGTCTCTGCAGCCGCGCTCCCGCTCGGTGCCGCGCTCGCCCAGCCAGGGCTCCTACGGCCATGCCAGGGTTTACTCGCCCGTGCGCTCGCCCAGCGCCCGCTTCGAGCGGCTGCAGCCCCGCGGGGATGAGATTTACGCCGACCCCGCCACCTTCGTGATGCGCAGGTCCATCAGCTCGCCCAAGGTGGGTACCTGAGGGGCGGGGAGGTGGGGCGGGGGTGTGGCTGTGTCACCTGTGTGGGCGTGGCTCGGTGTCAAAGTGACACTGAGCGCGTGGCTTGCAGCGGAGGGTGTGGGTTGGGATGCACATAGCCATCCTGCAAGGGATGGGATGGGATCCATGGGATGGGATGGGAT